TTATATGGGTTTAAAACATATTAAAATATCAAATTCGTACCTGTTTTATTTAGCTTTTAATCAATCTTGTCACAGAATATTGGGACAACCCTCGTATATATAACAAGTACATCTCAATAAATATGTATATGATATTCGCTGACAATACTACTCTGTGACGTAGATCTATCGTTATAAACGGATTGGTATCGGGCGGCATTAACAATTCTTCTTCGATGGATTAAATACCGGCATTGACAATACTCGACAATAGAGGACCTAGGCTTATGCAATGGGATCTTCTTCGGTTATGAACATTTAGTTACAAATAAATGTAAAGTATGACAGGATGTTGGAAATTTCTAAGACCAATACATCTTTTAGGGTCTGCCATAACGTGATAATTCATATTAGATTCAGCATCAAATGAATTTGTAATAGACTTCTGTAAGTAAACTGTTGTTGTTTACGATAGTACTGGATAGCTTAACGCCCAGCAAATTAAGGTAAGTTATTATTTATCTAATATATAGTAGATACCTTATAAGTAAGCAAGTAAGTGGTTGCAGGATATATATATATAGATATATCAGACGTAATACGACTTAAGGCTCAAAGAATTTAAGCTTTGTTGCTTTGGTACTTCTCAAGTTTTTACGGTTGAGAAGAAGATGCCAAATGACGACAGTCACCCCTATTTATAAACTTTTGGGACGCTACAAAGAGTGCCCCAGCCAATGAAAATCCCGGCTTAAGACTAGGTCCAGTGATCAGTCTTTAACAATATTTAACAATATAGCAATAACAATAGAAGTTCTAACAGACATAAGTAGCACATATATGGCTTAATTGAAAAGCCACATAAACATATCTGAAATAACATTTAAAAATACATATTAACAAAAAGCCGGTCCAAAATACTCGAGCGTAGTGATATATGCAGACGTATTCTATTACGCAGATAAAATACAGTTCTCACTTAATAAAATATGATAAAGACAGAAAATCATCCGGCTCAAATCAGGCTTACAATTATTTTTACATAAATAAGAAATCCTGAAAGTTTAAATGTAAACAAATATACATTCATAAAAAGCCAGACTGAAATACAAATAAGTAGTTCCAAAGTTCTGTGTCCGCCATTTTTAAACATGGAAAATGACAGAAGAAAGCGCCGTCTGAATCTTCCAATAATGTCTGTAGATATTCACTTTGTGATATATTATAGTAACTGTAAATGTTCCAAATTATTAGATATTCATCAGGAAATAAATTAGGGTCATCTGACCATTTTGTGGCGAGAGTTATCTATCCTAATGTGATACTCTTCTTAAAAGAGAACTGTCAACAATGCTGATATTCAAGTTTTACGTTGTGTTTCGTGGAATAAAGTCCATTTGTTAAAAAGGTAGCACTATTTGATCATTGTTAATACATTTTAAGTAAGAACAGTTCATGATTTATAGAATTATATATGCACATGTTGATTTCTGTTGAAAGTATAACGTAAATTGTCATGTCATTTGAAATGTCCAAAATTTGTAAGGGAGGTATTCCATTACACGATCGTACATCGATTTCAAGGACGGAAAGAGGAAGTGAGGTTAAATAAGATACCCCCCCCCCCCCCTAAAAATCCTCCTAGTTGGCAGTTAATTTAGTTTTATGATATTAAGCTTATATTTTTGTAAAGACGACCTTCAAAACTAATGTAAAAGCGAACCCGCAACGGTATCAGACAAGTTGTGTTTAACGTTCTTCTCGAGGTTAGGGATTTGGGCATTTTTTGTCGTAAAGAAGACGCTCCAAACTTATGAAAAAAAAAGAAAAAAAACCGATATAATACGATTTTGAAAATGACAGAATTTAATAAACATTTTATTATTTTAGAACATATTTTAAAATTGTCATTTAGATAAATGCATATTGCGTATTACACTTATTTGATTTTCATTTATTTGTGCATTTTAACAATTTGCTTTTAATAGATAAGCTCCTACTATAACGATAGTAATGTCTTAAAATGTAAAATTTGCAGAACATGATATTGTAAAACTTTCAAAAAAACTTGGTACTTAATATCAAGTAATGGTATGTTTATCCAAAATAAAACACAGTCTGATTGCAAGAGAAAAAACACACTAAAATTTGAAAATGCAAAATGCTTCAGGTTCAATATTTGACTCGGCCTCTTCATAGACGATAGTGTTTTATGCAACCCTACACGACAATATGAAGTAACACATTTTTACATTTCCAAGAGAACTAAGTTTTGATTTTTACAAATAATGTTGCCAACACCCTAAGGAATGAGATCTTTGAAAAGGTATTTCTGATTCTAATTGTGCAGCATAGATATTATCTCACTGAATTCTAATCCTTTTCAACATGCAACAGATGTAAATGTAAATTATTGTATGAAATGTATTTCTTTTAAGTAAACATTTGTTATTTTGCTTTTTTGCATTAATATTTGAAAACATTGTCATTCTTTAGAAATATCAAACATGTGTGTAATAAAGTTAAATACGGATTAAGAGCATGTTAGATGTTAAACAACTGTAGGAAGTAGTGTTGAATGTGCCGTAATGGTATCAAAATGTAAACAAAGTAGTAGTTTGACTTTGATACAAAATACTTATACTATAATTACCAACATTCCAAACGAAGCAAATAAAACTATAACAAGATACCAAAAGTAAAATGATTTTGAGAAATAAAAAGGATACAATTTCAGAGACATAATAGGCCTATTAGAGTAATTTAACTGATGTTATCATGTTGTGAAACCAGAAACATATGAGATAAATAAATAATAAACACATGCACATGCAAATGTTAATCACACAACACAACACAACAATTGATTTGCATTCTGAGACTGGAAAATTTATTTTACTCTATGACCTAAAAAAGAAAAAATCCGTATATGAGGAACGCACTGAAATATAATATTTTTGTATTCAATTTGATACGTGAGAGAACACGGTAGTATGATTGATCTTAATGTATGTTCAACATTTGTAAAAATGCCACAAGCTATATAATCAACAAGGTATTTACAAAGAAAAATAAAACATAGTTTCCTGCAGCTCTATAAGCACGCGACACAGTAAACTGTTGTAAGAACACAACACCTACTTACCACTTTTAAATATTTCGTAAGGGTTATAATTACGAAGATAGAATCTCTCTTTAAGAGTGCTTTTCAGAAATTAATTTACCGGTAAAAGTATTACCGTACTTGTGAAAGTCAATAAACACTAACTTTCTTAGACTTACAATTTCTTTATAAGTCCATTATACCACAGAAATGCTTTCCTGATTATGTCTCAAAAACCTTTTTTTTGTTTTTAGTGTCCCCGTTTAGTTTCTAATAAGTAACTAAATTGCCATTTCAGCGAAACATCTTTACATTGTTGTTGTTTGTTACTTTGACAATAAGCAAAGATATAGTATTTTGTATAAAAATCAAAATACTATTTAGTTGATATGCTGCTATTTTCACAAAGAAGAAAATAAATCCATTGAATGCTGCTTATTTCATTTGTCCTTAAATCTGCTTTCATGACCGATCATTTTACATTCAAGTTAACATTATTCTTTCATAAGTATGCCCTGAACCATTATTTAAACACTATAAAACTTATGTTTATCTTTTCAGAAAGGAAAAATGTATTCGTTTATAAAGCATAATGTGTCTTAAATGACCATCTATGTAATCTGGTATACATCTATAACCTGAAAGATAGAATGAAAGAAATGAAAGATATGGTTATTAGCCGAAATAATGGTGGTTTTGTTACTGTCAATCTTTCCAAGACTCAACGATATGAAGAAGTTAATTAAATTAAGTACAACAAAATTTGTTAAATATCACAGTATGGCCATCCAAAAATGATTAAATGATATAGCCATTTAAAAATAACGTGTCTCTAATGTTGTTTGCCTTAATGGGCAATATTTATTTACCACAAGTACCCATGTGTTTTTTCAATTGCATCTGGTTAAATCACTTACAACGGATATCTATCATGTAGTAAATATTTATAATCCCGATTATAAAACGTTGAATTTTGTATGTTCGTTCCAATTTTAATATTGCCAACAGGAGATCTTGAGAGAGCAAATTGTTGACTAGTGAAGACTTAATTTGTTGGAACTGATGTAATTTGCAACATCTCTCAAGCACCTTAGCACCGGCTTAGGAAGTATTCAATTATTAACACAGCAAGTATTAGTTTAAATGATACTGAAAAACCAGTAAGGTACAGCAACACTGTACACTGAGATGAAGTGCGGGGGATTTTGGGAAGTGTAGTTTTCTAACACTCAGATGTTCTCCATTGTTTACAAAAACATAAACACCAAATGTGGACACTTTGAACGTATGCATATTAAATTCACGATTCACCATTTATTTATCATATTATTATCATTATAATAATTATTATTTCTACTATTAATAAAAAAATAAAAAGAGACTAACTTCTTTAGAACGAACAATTTATACTATTTCAGCATATCATCGGGAAATGCTGAGACTTAATCGGTTTAAGATGAAAAAAAAGGAAACAAAAATAATGTATTGATAGTAGAAATTAGAAAAATTGCGTGTTTGATTTGTTAGTAAATTTCGCGATTTGTTCTTGTATTTGTTTTGTAATTGAGTATTTATGAATGCACATGAAAAGTGCCACAGTGGAGGAAACATTAATTTTACTGGAAATAAAGAAGTTGGATATTTTGGCAATGTTTCTTCAAAGCTATTTCATGACTTTGATACGCTATTGAAAATCAGATAAAATAAATTTCAAAGTTGTATTTTAGAATTTCATTTGATTTGTAAGAGTATATCAAACATTATATCTGCAGCATATTGCATTTTCCTCTAACATAAAGGGTATTTACCAATCAATAGAACGTCTAAAATGCATTTTTGATTTCATTGATATGATTAACTTTCGTTAAATAGCATAGCTTAATTGTCGCTCGAAGCTTTTTTCAAAGAATCTGATCAACAAAGCCGCTTTGTATAACATCCGATAGCATAGCCAAATTTCAAACGCATGCTATGATGAGATGGTGCTATCAAGCTACGCTAAATCTCTCAAAACTGCGGGTATTAAGAGAACACATAAAACGCTCACCACTTCGTTTTATACGCATCAGAATAAAAACCAATTCATAACTTGTATCGACAACGCTGACTCTATAACATGTCACATTCTTTGGAGTATCTCGATAGAAGCCGTATGTAATTATAATAAATGAAATGTTGGTATAATATAGGAGTTTTCTAGAATGGTTATTGGAAATGGACACAAGAATACGAGTATTGGAAACAGCATAATTATTGAAAAGTGTTTTTATATTTCAGCACATAAAAAGTAAATAGTTTGAAAGTTAAAGATGGAATATAACTATAATCATTATCGGTGATTTTGAATAGGAAATAAATATATTGTTAACAGACAAATGGTTAAATATTTAATTCAGTTAATGATTTGCTGATGGATTGATTTTGTTTGTATTCGATTAAGTCAATTGATAAAATATCCTTTATATAATTTGTGATTGTATACATTATGTTCAACGCTTGAATCTTAAAGATATTCATAAATCATTGTGTTCTTAGAGACAAAATGAACAAAAGTTTCAACAGTCAAACTTATGAAGTATTAAACAATAGTACGGATATTGTTGATGACGACGGCTACTATTTTTACGAAGATCTTGATAAACTAAAACATTCATGGATACACGAACCCCACTTTGTGCCTTTGATAATAGTTTATGGGACCGTCTTTCTAATTGGAGTAATAGGAAATGGTATAGTGATGTTTTCAGTACTTGGATCTGGGTCGTCAAGGTCGGTCACCTTTACTTTTATGATGAGTTTAGCTTTAGCGGATATTTTATTCCTGATGGTTGTAGTTCCACACGAGACTCTACGAATGGTTCTCGGAGAATGGTCTGGTGGAAGAGCGTTCTGCAAGGTTTCTGGATTTATTGAAATGCTCACAGCTGTAGCGTCAATTCTTAATCTCACGGCAATTAGCTTTGAAAGGTATTGTTACATGTTTGTTTTAAAATATTAACAATATATTTAAAAAGATGTTATAATAAAAATGTTATTCATCTATATAGTACTTATAAGATCTACATGAATGTTTTCGTATACCAATAAACAATAATGTCAATAAAATATTCGTCTTTAAGGAGGTTTATATAAACTATTTTTCTATTATTAACTCCTAACTTTCAATATATGTTTTGTATTATTGTATTATAACAATTGAAGAAGTATGTATTGTTTAAACCAAATAATATACCCATTTACAAATCATCCGGCAGGAAATACTTACAATATGGCTTACATAACAAAATATTGTGATAACACAAAAAGTGTTTTAAATATGTTTATTAAAATTAAAAGATATATATAACATGGAAATATGGATATTATGCAAGTATTTCTATTTTTTAATGTTCTAAAATCTGGTTACTATGACAACAAATAGAGCTATAGGAGTTCCACTGAGGTAACACGGCCCACAAAGGTCAACTTGAAGCCTAGAATTCTTACAAAGACCAAGCGAAGATCTGAAAATAAACACATCTTCAGAGAAAAATAAAGTATAAAATACTTATTATTAAATGGAATATCAATTTTTTGTGCAATTTTTAGTCCAAGGTTTGAGCAAAAAGCATTGGGACGCTTTTCATTTTTGGGCCATTTTAAAGAAAAAATTATTCTTGAAACACGGTATGAAAATGTGATCTGAAAATTCGACGCAAGTTATTTGTTCAGACCTACAAGAAACGGTACTCAAGTCTGGAGAAAATAACTCTAGTACCTTCATGTATTAAGCTTCAGTGGAGTTCCTTTAGAATATAGCAAACATATCAATTTATTGTGATGATTTTAAAGTGCTGGACAACACATTTTAGGAAACGTGAAATATGGATAGATGGATATAATGCACGTCATTATTTTATTATAATAAAGTAAATACAGTTATAATAAACATCATAATGTGCAGATCAAGTTTAAATCGTGGACTCTTTAGAACATGAAGTCTTGTCAATCACCAACATAGAGTGTGATCATGAAGATAACAGTCGCATCATGAAGATTTAAAACTTTTCACACGTTGTTTGCCAGTCTTAAGCTAAGCTCAACAAAATACCTATTAGAACACAAAACAAATTCACGTGAAATCAATGCATGGTGATAACTGGATTAGCTATGTTCTACAAAAATATCTCACAAGTACCTGTTTAAAAACACCTGAAACATTGAAAGCTATGGAAGTTAAGTTTCAACTGCTGACGATGATGCGAGTGTAGTACAATCTACATCACTTGAAATCATCACCAATGAATTCTAGCTTCATTTATACCAAGCCATGAACACAAACAGTTGTTTTATTGAATAATTCCTTGTTCATAAACGCTTAAGCAAAAGTGCGATAGTAACAATTCTTTTTTTTTTTAATGTTTTTTTTTGCATGAATGCACTTTTTTCGGCTCGATGTTAAGATAGTTTTTTAAATAACTTTATGGATTTTAATTCTATACAAAAATATCAACATGTAATATTAACCCAAGATTTACGCAAGACTTTAATTTTGTTTTGTCATGTTTTCTCCTACCCTTTGCCAACCATACCGATTAAGGCTTTGTAACTAAGAGTAGAATATATAAGATTTCTTAAATTTTTTACGATTGTTTTAAAAAACCTCCGTAAATAGAGGAAATGTTTTTAATAGTATACATTATGTTCAAAGACCTTACCAAGTTCAAAAAACGGCTGCCAAACAATGTGTAAATGCTCGAAATAACGTTTGTTATATTAATATGTAACATACTTTTTGTCCTTTAATAGCATTTACTATCAGAATTGCAACAAATTTTTAATTGCTTAGAACATTACGTAGTATACATGTGACAAAATTTACATTACTCTTGCAAAATTCACTAAAGTGCAAGTTTTTATCTTTACAGGACGCAATAAATTGATAGTGTATATTTCTTTAACGTAATAGAGATATTGATATCTTATAGATAACTAATGTCATCAAGCTACAATAATGTCCTGTTTTGGACATTTTCGACTGGAATATTCGACGTTATAATGAAACAGCTTATGTAAAGTATTCCGAAATGTCATAGTTACGTTTACGGACGTCACGCAACTAATTTTTTTATCATTTCATTAAGGATTCATTTGCTACTAAAAGTAAGAGTATGTGTTATGATTATATTTACAAAAGTATATATAAATTGATTTTCCAAGAATACGCTTTCAGAATAGTAGAACTGTGGACACCGTTTCAACATCGCTTAATAAGAGATAAAATTCTCTAGGTATGGGGTCAAAAATGATATCGAGACTGGTAAGCTAAAGCATTTAAACATCAGTGCGTACCTATAATAGAAGAAAATATAATTATTTTTCCTGTTGAGAAATTCCCTTTTTCGTGAAAGGTTTTTATCTGAAAATATGTTTAAACTTAATTGTGCATTTGTAAGAATTAAAAACATGTTTATTTTGATTTTTTTTTCGACTAAATAATAGCACATGTCCAAGTGTAGATAAAATACAAAACAGGGATAACAAATGATTAACTTCTTTGATTTACAATTATATCCTTATTAACCTCGTGATACTGTTAACTCATTGATGTCATTTAATGGTGTTTTTGTTCTGTGGACTTCATTGCCATATAATATTCGACACGAACGTCATAGAAACAGTGGGTAACAATATGGTGATACTGATTTGTACAATACTGTATAAAGAACAGAATATGACATATATGCGCAAGAAAAACATACACATATTCAGCGTTTAAAATGTGCTTTAAATCAATTTTCATAACACATTGATAACAAAAATATTCGAGCAATAATACAATTTACATCTGACATGTACCTGTTTTGTTTGGTTACTGTATTTTCATATAGGTAAACTGTTTTGAAATACTACATGCTGTGTTAGGAACAACGTTATTAAGAAAAATTAAAATTGTTAAACATTAAAAAAATATTTACTGCATAACTGTTTCTTACACATACAATATGATTTTAATCTCATGCATTCATTAAATTGAACATTAGCGAACATTAAGACGTTGCAAAAAATCAAAATTAATGTAAGCCACTTTGGTTAATGTAGCATACATTGTTACAAAGCACCTGCAACATTTAATTATCCTCTGTTTAAATTAAAACTTAAGTCTTATTTACGAGAAATTCAAATTAAAAATATGATATTTGTGTTTGTTGTTTTTATAAACCAATTTCTAATTCATTACACTTTCCAGGATGAATTGTTAGTCTGTTGAAATATGACTACAAGTTTTATTTTCTCAACAAAATGATTAAACTTCTTTTCGAATTTTATTTGTATTTTCAAAGTACATAAGAGTTCGCAGAATAAGGAATGCCTCCAATACATTTCTCTTTGATTTTAATAGTTTCGCGATCACTTCATTTGACCTAAATATCTTTGTTCATTTTACATGCTTATACACTTAACTGCTAACATTCTTACATACTTAGTTTTGTCTTGAAGGCACATTGAGTCAAAAGTGGTATAAGAAAAAAAGTTATATTTTCGTAAACTTTGAAGACTTAATTTAAGTGACATTTCGAGCGTTACCACAAAATGGTGTTCAGAAATTGAAAAAGGGTTAATCAAATCCTCATAAAAGAGACAAAGGGATATAATTCATGACCATTTCGCATCTTTTGTATACGATATTTCTATTCTTATCATTAACCATAAGCACAACAGTCATAACCACTCATTCAGTTCCAAGTGGCATGTTTTGTCATTAATTAGGGACCACTTACTTGACGATACATTGCTTTTATTTTACATAAATTGTTTACGCAAATTGTAGTTATTTTTGTAAACAATTACTAGGGTTTCATAAAGAATCTAAAGACATAGTTTAGTCGTTAGTGCAAAACTGTGAAAAACTGAGGTTCAAGAAAAGTCCTAAGTACAGTTTTAAGACTAAACTTAGGACTATTCCCATCGGTGCCTCAGGGCACTCCTAATTTTTGTCTAAAGTCATAAATACAAAAACAAGTGATTAAAAAACATTGCAGCTCTTTATTTACTGTCTGATACGTAAAAATCGAAGGCATATATGTGAAGAAAAAATTATTATTACATGTTATATTAAATAAATTCTATATTATATTTGTTATTATTGCATTGATTTAATATGAATTATGATAAGTTTTCGTTATGTGTGTATGACTTAATTAAATACTTTTAAGGTAAAAAATTGTTAAAATAAACATGTCATTTTTGCTAACCAGTATTATGATAGGTTTTATTAGTGAATAAAAATTCGTACCAATCATATTATATGACTAACATTGTGACTGATATGGCTACGAAATGCCGGACTTAGTTTGGCGTATGTTTTTTTGTGGTTTTTTTTCAAGATTCGGTATTTTTTTAAAGACTTTACATAAAATTCAAACATGCTTCACAATTTCCTCCTATAAACAGATAAGGCAGTCAAGTAAGCATTAATAGATCTACATGGTATATACGACATAAAAATGTAAGGATAACACAACATATAAGTCAGATATGACGTCAATAAACCAAATGACGTCATAAAGATAACTTCTACGCATAAAATAATTCAAATGTTTCTATTGATTATTTTGATGGAAATATATATCATTTTTCTTATGTTACTGTAAAATAATGCAGGGTTAATCATTCAAATGTTTTGTAATAAGTTATTTGGGCCTACCAACCTTAGTTATTACATTACTGCGCATTTGAACTTAGAAGGCGCATTATCCTACAACAAAACACTCAAAATTTAGATTTGTTTCCTTAACATTAAGAAGTTTTTTGTTTTTTTTAGTTTGTGTAAAATATGAAGCATATTTTCAAGAATCATGTCTGCCATATGCAATTTATAAATAATTTTAAAAGAAACTCAAAAATTATTAGTCCTCTTAGATCTACATTATAACATTAATGATATGAAGTAAGATAATAGATAAGAAATATTAATGAATTAATGT